AAAAAAAAAATCTTTCATGTCCCTAAGTAGCATGAATTTCAGTGAAAGCAAAGGAATTAGTGGGTGTCATCTTAAGAGACACAGTACTTAGTATTCTCTGTATTAGTCTGTAGAGCTGCAACACAGACAGGACAAAGAGGAATAACCCTAGAAAAATAGTATTGACAACTAAAATGGTGTCAAAAATTGGCAACTCCAATGTGGATCTCTTTGTAAAGCCTTTCATTTTCATTAAATTAAAAATGACTCCATAATCTACTATAAACCACAGTATCACAAAGATTTACACTATAGAAATATCTGTTATAGTTTTGTTATAAATATAGAAGGCAGATAACAGAGCCAGGCAATGGTGTATAAAATTGCTGCTAGATATTATTTCCAAAGCAGAGCCATATCTATATATGAAACACAAGGTACTTCAAAATGAAAGCTATTTGTTGTGTTTAAATTTTACAGAATTAGTGTTAAAGCATTTTTAAAATCCTAGTAAATGTACAAGATGCTATGCATGTAGACAGCACATATGATGATGTATGGATAACCACAGAGCTTAACTAGTAAATAATCATTTTCAAACATCGTAGAGAACACACCCCACACCCCATTTCTGACAGTAAGAAAATAATCAACCTGCAGGAGCTGGAATCAGATTCATTTTCTTCTTCACTAGTGCCATCATCCACTTCTGGTCTATCCAGCCAATGTGCACCGCCACAGTCTTCTGCTGTAAACTCAAATGCAGGGACTTCAGACGTGGATGCCATTGGCCAAGAAGGTGAATTCTGAAAATCCAGTTGGCTGGACCTTTGGTAACCAATTGAAGCCAAAGGCAATTGTAGGCTACATGGATCTAAAAACTTTCTCCCACCGTTTGCTCCAGTCTGTCCTCGGTTCCAAAATTCTCCCTGCTGGCTGTCAACTGAAGAATTAGATGATGCTTGATGGCCAAACCACCTCCATCTGATTTTCAAAATCTGTTTCACATCAAACTCTTTACGAGAACCAGACATCCTCAGAGAAACCAAGTGATCGTCTAGGCAACGGGCAAAAAGCACTGCACAGATTTGTGCATCCAACCAAGACAAGATATGCTCTGCTGTATACAACAAACAGATTTAAAGGAAAATAAATAATTCATATATATATATATCTGCATTGAATTTTATACCAATACATCAGACTATAAAGAACAAAGGATAAGGACTAGTGATGAAGCACGGTGGAACATTCCGTTCAATCAGAGCAAACTCTGACCCACCTATCGTGAAGCAGCTAAGGCACTTTCCCTGCTCTCCTCTCCCATACTGACCATTCACTCTCACAAACACTGACAGCATTCATTAAAGTCCTTTCAAACGCAGAACAGAGCCCCCTTCTCTAAACCACAACTGAAGAGACAGAAAGCATTATCCCAATGCAGAACCTCAGCCTGTGCTGCTTAGTATATTAACTCCTTTATTGCTGAAACAAGAGCATTTTCCTTTGTACTTAAAAATCACTTTCTGAACAATTCGGTCCTGATTTCAACCAGGCTCCCAGATGGGGCATCACAAAAAACATTTTTAAAAAAGCATTTTTTAATTAGACGAGTTATAATGATTCAAGCCGTGCTCTTTGGGTGGGGGTGAGGAGGGAAGAGTACAAGACTGACTTTCCACCTCTATCTTAAGACAAACGAACAGTGACATCCAGGGTTAAATTTCATTTGAACAAAGAATGAGAAAAACTAGAAGAAAAAGTTTGAAAACTACAAAGGGTCAAAATGTCAGTACTTACTCAATTTTTGAAGAAATAACCTGAAGCCAAGATTGCTGTATAATTAAAATAGGACAATTTCCATTTAGTATAGAACACTGAAATGTTCTAGATACTACTTAGGAATGAATAGTAGGGCTCAAGGGGTCTACTAAGGTTTGGGCTAAGACTGTTTCTAATCATTGTACAAGTGCCTGAATGGTACCCACTGCTGTTAACAAAACAAAGCAGTGGTGTGAACATGAATTCAGTCAAGGCAAATTGAAAAAGATTTTAAAAAATCAAAATTTAAAATACTGAATAGTTACTGTGAGTAATATATTCTACAAGGTATCGTGGGAGGCAGAAATAGACTGTCTCCTAACCTCCAAAATGGGTGAACTACTGAAACAAATACAAAACAGTAGACTAGTAAAAATATAAAACATAAAATTGCAATAATAAAAATTTGTGGCCCATAAATGTAGGATTTCAGTTTTTAGGGTGTTCAATATTGAATTCCATATCTAATAATTTCACATAAAAAGCAGTATCTGTATTGGCTGACCAAAAAACAAATAAAAAGCTGCTTTGGAGACATAAAACTATTGTGAACCAAATATTTTAACCTCACATAGCTCCTTAAAATAAAAACTGTTCAGAAAAACAATAAGAACCATGAAAGGCCATTGTACAATTCTGTACTAAGTACTATTGGGGAAAACTGAATAATCTTTAAGAAGAAAGGCAGTATCAGGAAGGTAAGGAGGGGTCCAGGGCAGCTTCATTAGCTTCTCAATAGAGTAAGAAATTGTCTAGGCAGAATGATGCTAAATGTATATAAGCTAAAAGTTACGAATAAAAGCACGGAATGAGCATGTTGACAGGGAAGGAGATGGGAATACCAGTTTAATCAGCCAGCTAGCCACACCTAACCAATTTTAAGAAACAGGAGAGAAATTTAGATGAATCAATGAGATAGGATACCTTGAGAGCACAGCAAGGATATATTAAGAAGACTGCCGAGGAGAGCAATGTTTTCAAATATTAGCTTGGTGGTAGTTGCAGGAAGCAGTATGTTGTGAAATGATGCTTCCTGCTCCCCTCACCAGCTTCCTATCAATCTTCCTGTGCTGGCTAGTATTTGTCAACTTGACACAAACTAAGAAGGAACCTTAACTGAAGAATTTCCCAGATCAGACTGGCGTGTGGCCTTGTGTGGGGTATTTTCTTGATTGCTAAATTGATGTAGAAGAGATCTGTCCACTGCAGGTGGGCCTGGCTGTCTAAGAAAGGTAGCCTAGCAAGCCAGAGGAAGCAAGCAGCCTTCCTTCCTGGCCTCTGCTTCTGATCCTGACTTGGCTTCTCTCAGTGCTGGATTGTGACCTGGAAGTTGTAAAATGAAATAAACCCTTTCCTTCCCACGTCAAGGCTTTATCATAGCAACAGAAAGCAAACTACGACAACTCCTCTAACTCTACGCTACTTACAGGTATTTCCACTTTCTAGTACTGACACCATTTTTGCCACTCAACAGTCTGCATTTTGTTGCTCCCTCTTTTGCAATGCTGTTTGTGTTTCAATTTCCCAAGTTTTAAAATCCTACCCATCCTCAAGGAATACAGTTTGGGCACTGACACCCTGACAAACAATTCCTTTTTTTTTTTTTTTTTTTAAGACACGGTCTCCCTGTAACCCCAGCTGGCCTGGAACCCACTATGTAGAACAGGATGGCCTTGAACTCACAAAGATCCACCTGCCTCTGCCTTCTGAGTGCTAGGATAAAGGCTTGGGCCACCATGCCTGGCACTACAAACAATTCTTTAGCTACTCTAGACTTGTGGTTCCTAACATAGTGGTAAACTTCCCTTCCTCACAAATGTTTCTGGAAATCAGAGAAAGAGTAGCTTTCAGTGGCTGGAATGATCAGAAAGTGCTATAAGCATTGAATGCACAGACACCAAAATAATAAGCAGTTCATAGAACGACACAAAGAAAAGCTGTCACTGTAATAGCTCATAATGACCTTATCACCATCTTCATTTAAAAAATATTTGCCAAATATATATATATATATATATATATATATATGTGTGTGTGTGTGTGCAAAGCTCTGAGAGACAGAAAGATCATTAACATCTTGCTTTTAAAAAGAAGTTTTAAATTTACACTGTGGCAAAGGAAAGGATAATTATTATAAAAGAACAATTTGTGTGTGTGTTGCATGTCCTGTTTTAACAGTTTAATGGCATTTTATACTTATAAAACAATCCATTAAATTACATCCTTGAGCTGGGCATGGTGGTTCATGTTTGTAATCCCAGAACTCAGGAGGACTGCCATGAGTTCCTGGCTTGTCTGGGCTATATAACAAGTTTTGGGCCAGGCTGGGCTAAACAATAAAAAACAATAAAACAACCTATCTCTTGGTAAGTAATAGGCATTTGAGTTGGCTTCAAGGTTTTGTTTGCTACTGAGACATTAAAATAAGCATCTTTGTCAGGCTTTTATATATCCGACTTCTAGATAATTACTGCATCGAAGTTGCATGCATTTTAAGTTGGCAATGAGTATTGCAATTCTTTTAACTCTAAATGACTACTGGCCTTGAGCACATATTTATAGGGCCATTAGCCACTTCTCAAATACCTACATTTATTTTTTGCCCATTTTTTTTGTTAGGCCATATGTCTTTGTCTTATTATCAGGCAGAAATTTCTCACATACTACACACTGACTGTATTGTTCTCGTTTTAGAAATATTTTTTTCTAGTCTATTTCTAGATGGATAGCAGTGAGTTTCTGTATGTTTAAAAACATCTTAGAATGAAAGTTTGACAAGTGTGTAAATCACAAGTGGAAAAGTTAATTTTCATATGAACCAACCACATGTTTTTCACCGACATTCAAGAATAATTGTGATTACCAGCACTCAAGAGTCTTCATGCGCCTTCCCCAAAGGTGACCACAATCCTTAGCATAAATCAGCTTTCTCTGCCTCTGAGCTTCATTTAAATATATTCTTTTGTTCATTGTTGGTCTAAAATTAACTCATTATCTGGGGCTGCAGGAGTAGCTCAGTGGTAGAGGCATATATGAAGGTTCAATTTCCACCATCATCACCAAAAAAAAAAAAAAAAGCCAAAAAACAAAACCTGTTGCCTGTACCATCGGAGGGCTAGTTTTTACAGCTATGTAGTAGTCTATATAAATTATATAACCATTAAAATCCCTTCTATTGCTGACAGTTGTTTCTAGTTTTAAACTAGAAATACTGTTTCTATACGCTCTTGTGTATGTTGTCTGACACATATACGTATATATACATTACAATTATGTGTGTACATGTGTTCATCTGTGATTGCTACCAATCTACACTTCTAAGAGCAGCACATACAACTTTCAATTATTCCACATCCAGCCTACACTGGTTATTGCTAGGTTTTTTAATGTCAGTCATTTGGTTGGGCATGTAGGCTTTTTTCTTGTTACTTACATTTCTTCGATTACGAATGGTACTGAGTAGCTTTTCTTTCTTTCTTTTTTTTTTCTGCCTTTTTGAGACAGGGTCTCCCTGTAGCCCCAACTGTCCTGGAACTCACTATGTAGACCATGCTGGACTTGAACTCACAGAGATCCACCTGCTTGTGCCTCCTGAGCGCTGGGATTAAAGGCGTGTGCCACCGCGCCCGGCAGCTTCTCATTTTTATCCATTATTGAAATCTCCTATAAAATGGATGCTTAAGACCTCTTTAAAATTTGATTTATTTATATTTTATGTGTATGAGTGTTGTGCTTGTATGTTAAGTGCACCCATGTTGTGCAATACCTGTGGAAGCCAGAAGAGGGTGTCAGATTCCCTGAAACTAGAGTTATGGACGGTTGTTAGCTGCCATGTGGGTGCTGGGAACCAAACCTGGGTCCTCTGCAAGAGCAACCAATGCTCTTAAGCACTAAGCCATCTCTCCAGCTCTCAAGATTTCTTGCTCTTTATTCTTATTATCTTATTTTTAACCTCCTTTATTTAGAGCTCTTAAATTTCCAATATTCTTTTTATGAAAAACATATGATAAGCATTAATGTTGCTATGCACAAAATCAGCATTTATTTAAATAATACTCTTTCTTAAGTCACATCAACTTTCACGCCACAATATAAAACTGTTTCAGTGAAACATTTACCCAACTCTGATGAGCAAATACGCCAAGTATTGGTAAGTGCCATGAAAAAAATTCAGAAGTCCAGGGCATAGGGATAAAAATTACATAGACCCATTCTGATAATTTAATAATATAATGGTTTGAGGAAATACTTCTGATTGAAAAAAAAAAGTACCATGGACCAAACAGTGCTCTCAGTGATGTAGTTAATTTGTATTTTGGTCTTAGCTCCATTTTTTGTTTTTACTAGGCAGCTGGTCCATGGTCTTTGACAGGGACCACTTGGGACTTTTCTTTTGGTCGTTTATAATTATTCAGTTTTCATTCAACTTGATAGCAAACTCTTAATAGTTAATTTTTATTGCGGCATCCCAAAACATTCAACTTAATTTTCATGGAATTCTCTTTACAGTCATTAATTTAGATGTTTACCGAAGTTTTATAATTACTGTAATATTGTAACTGCTAAAAACAAGTCTGTGAATGAACAGAATCAACTTACAATTTAAGAATCTGTGCTGGATAGCTTTAGTTGTCAACTTGACACACCTGGGTAGAGGGAGGCTCAATTGGTGAATTGCCTCCACTGGACAGGCCTGTGGCCATGTCTGTGAGGCATCTTCTTGATTATTGAGTGATGTGGGAGGGCCCAGCCCACTGTGGGTGGTGCCACCCCTGGGCGGGTGGGCCTATGTTGTATGAGAAAGCAGGTTGAGCAGGAACCAGAAGAGCAAGCCAGTAAGTAGCGATCCTCCATGGCCTGTGCTTCACCTCCTGCCTCCAGGTTCCTGGCCTGAGTTCCCTACCTTGGCTCCCTTAGTGATAACTGTTACCCAGGAGATATAAGTTAAATAAACTCTTTCCTTCCCAAGTTGGCATTGGCCAGAGTGTTTTGTCACAGCAATGGAGAAACAAACTAGGACAGTAGCCAACTGAACAATTAAGTATAGAAATTTATGTATCTGTTATGGAGCAGTTCACTGAGCCACTGGGATCAATAAAAACAGTGAAAAGAGGGCACAACTTAAAGATGTGAATCAGTTCAGAGGTAGCTGGTTGAGAATTCTTTTATCATTTTCCAACATTATAACTTAATGGTTTCTTAAATAATGTAGTAGAAAGCGCCTGGGTCAAAAGTTAAGCCATTCAATTTGAGCAAATCACCCCCTTGATCCTCAGCGTTCTCCTCAGTAAAATAGGACTAGGTAATTAGCGTGTGTATCAGTATCTAGATTATTGTACCTCGATGTGCACAATAATATGTGGAAAAGTACGCATTGAACAATACGTGTGTGCATGCGTGTGTGTGTGGGGGGGGCATTTAATTGTCACAAACCGAGAAACAGGTGTCTCTTTCCCACCTTGCAGATGAGACTGCTCCAGTGAGGCTGACTGGCTGCTTTAGGACACACAGCTGGGGAGCACAGGGTTCTATTCAAGTTTACCATGCTGCCACTTGTTTTCAAACTAGTCTTATTTGCTGCTCACTACTACTTAGTGAGGCAGGTAGTTATGAACCCTGTCATACCACCAAGGAAACAGATTCTGAGTCTAGCTGACTTGTAGACACTTAGGTATCCACAAAGAGCAGTAAACTGAACTGAAATTGTCTGCCAGTATGACACGGTCACACTATCAAATAAGGCACTAAAAGAGCACTTGAAGAACACATTTCCCAGATAAAAATATTATTAAATTCACCACAACTGCAATTAAAAGATGAATTGGCATGAATGATCAAACACAAGTGCCTCAGATTTCTGCTTACTAGCTTCCTCTCAATTTTTGGCACTTGCCTATAAAGCAAAATGTTGACCCATGATAGCATCAAAACTACTTTCAATTACCTATCTCTACTAATATCTGGTAGGAAGATGAAGAACACTTTTAAAAATTGGCTATTCTATTTCCCTATTTTTCAAGCTCACCTATAAAAGATCACAGTTGATCCTATAATAACTACAGCATGAGTCTAACAAAATATTTGCTATTGAAAATAGCCCTTTAAGCCAAATGTGATAGCTTATGCCTATAATCTGAGCACTTGAGAGGCAGAGGGCAGGAGGACTGACACAAATTTGAGGTCAGTCTGTGCTACCAAGTGAATTTCAGATCAGCCCGGGATCCTGTCTCAAAAACAAAACAAAACAAAACAAAACAAAACAAAACAAAACAGTCCTCTGTCTTCATGGCTGGAAAACAAAGATTTCCTAGCCACACTCTTATATTCTGTGAATATACATATTCGCTGGGCACAAGGATGGAAACCACAAGGAGGGTGGGAAACCACGTCTAACTTCTTGCCTGATCCATGATGTTGGGAATGAGCTGAGACACCCAAATATCTATGTGCCGTAAAAAGTCTAACAGCATGGATAACTTAATTTTGTCTTTTTGTCTTTTACTGACCTGGATCAAATCCAGAAATATTTGTTCCATGCAGCTTTATGGTGATGGAGACTGAAAAAGTAATCACTCAGTGCTCTCAAGGCACAAATGCAACCAATCAAAATAGCCTGTGGTCTCTTGAACACACAATGAGAATCACAGATCAACTTGATTCTGCTACAGCACCAGTCAGATTTTATAAATATTTGTTAGAATAGCATATAGCTGGTAAGGAAACATTAGAAGAACCATTGCCTAGCAAGTACGATCCTCTGGTTTGATCCCCAGCACCTTTTCTCCTTTATTTTTTAAGAAGACTTCTTTTGGGGGCTGGAGCGATGGCTCCGTGGTTAAAAGCACTGGATGCTCCTGCAGAAGACCTGGGTTCAAATTCTAGCAACAACATGGTGGCTAACAACTGTTCCTAACTCCAACTCCAGCAGATCAGACACTATCTTCTGGCCTCCATGGGCATTTCATGACATTGGAGCACTTATATGCTGACAGAACACTCACACACATTAAAGAAAGAAAAAGTTAAAAAAAAAAATTAAAGACTTCTTTTCAACTGTTTACAACTAAAAATAAATGGTTCATCACTACAACTTTGCTAGACTTTGGTCAGAGTGTTTTGTCTCAGCAATGGAAAAACAAACTAGAACATAAATTGGTACCAGGACTGTGGGGTATTGCTGTGACAGACATGACCTTGGTGTTTTGGGGAGGACTGTGGAAGCGTTTGGAACTTTGGGCTGAAAAAGCTATTGAATGCTTAGAGATTGTTGTTGTGGAGCTTGGAACAGTTATGTTGAAAGAGTTGTGGATGATGGAGGCCTGGCTTGTGAAGCTTCAAAGGGAAGTGGAGACTATCAGGGCTCTTTGTACAATATCTTGAATTGAGACTCTGTGGGTTCTGGTTGCTGGAGCTGAAGAATCAGCTATGATTAAGAGAACAGAACCACTGAAGTAAAACCTTTGCTTTGCTGAGACAGTTGATGCTGGTTAGCTGGAGCTGAAAAGTCAGCTGTGAGTAACAAGAGACCAGCATCACTGTCCTGAAATCTTCTAGGAAGTATTTCCTCAGGGCCAGAGCACAGAAGCTGTGGTCCAGAGGGGACCCAAGCCTCCATCTCAAGCTTGAAGCAGGACCTGGTAATGTGTTCTGCATGGTTCTGGTGTTGAAAACATGAAGGGGTCACAGAGAGCAGCTGAGGCGTGGCACCCTGAGAGGCCAGGAAAGACCACTGGTGAAAGTACAACCTTAGTTGTAGTGAAGACCCCCAGGATTGAAGGGGTCATGGAAAGAATCAGGCTTTTCACCATGAGATGCCAGAGAAGGTGTGCTTCCATTTCAGTGGAGACCCCAGCTTTTTGGAGATACCAGGACCATGGGACAACCACCAAGGGCAGCAGCAGCTGTAAAATGGAGCTGGCCTGGGCCTGCGAGATGAGCTGTGTGTGCTGTGGATGGCAGAGTCAGTGATGGGTGCTGCCAAAACCCTTTGGAGCCCAGAAGATCATGAGTGAATCTTAGATGTCCAGGCTTGAGCTACTTTGCTAGACTTTGGTTTTGCCTAGGTGTGCCCAATTCTTCCCTTTTGAAATAAGACAGTACTTGTTTTGGATTTTATAGGAGTCCACAGGTAAGAGACTTTTAAATGTTTGGATTTTTTTTAAGGACTGTGGAACTTTTAAGGTTGTACTGTCTTATGTTGTGATATTGCTAGCATTATATCTTTGGGGATAAGAAATGGAAAAAGTTGTGGTTTAATAGTGATGTGTTTGTGTGTCAAGTTGACAAGGGGTCAGTTGTGCTGGATAGCTTTAGCTGTCAACTTGACATACCTGGGTAGAGGGAATCTCAATTGGGGAATTTCCTCCATTGGACTGGCCTATGCCTTTGAGGTATTTCCTTGATTTTTGAGTGATGTGGGAGGGCCCAGCCTACTGGTGGTGGTGCCATCCCCTTGGGCAGCTTGTTCTGTATTGTATAAGAAAGCTGGGGGAGCATGGGCCAGGGGAGCAAGCCAGTAAGCAGTGTTCCTCCATGACCTGTGCTCCAGCTCCAGTCTCAAGGTTCCTACCCTGAGTTCCAACCTTAGGCTCCCTTGAGATGAACTATAACCTGGGTGATATAAGATAAAATAAACCATTTTCTCCTCAAAAAAAAAGGTGATGAAGAGATATGGCAAAAGGATGTTAAAATCTATTTTAAAATATTTATTATTCTTATTTGATGTGTATGAATTTTGCCTGCATGTATGTAGATGCACCACATGCATGCAGTGCCCACAGAAGCCAGAAGAGGGCATCGGATATATTGGAACTGGAGTTACTGACAGCTAATAAACTGCAATGTGGAAGTTGGGAACCAAACCTGGGTCCTCTGGAAAATCAGCAAGTGCTTTTAACTTTTGAGCCATTTCTCCAGCCCAGGTTAAAATCTAAAACATCCAGGTAAAGGGTCTTTTGGAGATCTGTTTGGATGGCAGGAAGAGCTTAATCAAACAGCATATTAAGTGCCCTCTTCTTTCTGCATTACTATATAAGGTGGAGCCAGGGAGTACCAGATCAGGATTGGAGCATGTAACATACAAGAGTTAGACCATTCAGTCACAGGTACCTTGGGAGAGGAAGAAGAGCTAAATGAAAGGATTACAATGAAGATGGCATTTGTTGGTGTTTAGGGAGTGCAAACAGCAGCTACAAGTCAGTTCCAGTTCTCTCTTCTTATCCTGATTACCAGTCTGTCCCAATAGAATTGGTCCCAATGCCTGTCAGGCAGTCTGATGATGGCATCTCAGGGTTCTCCAGTCTTAGGCTTCCTTGTACGCTACTAGAATTGCTTCCTTCTCGACTATAAAATTGCCAGTTACTTTGTTATATTTTTAGGACCAATTCTATTATTTTCAAACTCTGACAGTTGTTAACATTAAAGGCTAACCAAGTTGTGGCACTTATAGAACTCTAGTTCTGCTAGAACTGCTAAAGGTCTAGTTTCAAGTGTGTGAACTCTTAGGTTAAAGTACCCTTGTAACAGCAAAACAGAAAGATCAGAGAAACAGAACACTGAACTACATGTGTGGAGGCTGGCAAGAAATCACAGAGTGAAAACAGCCCCTAACTTTCCATTACTGACGCCAGTTGCCTCAAGGCCAAACTGCACTTCATGCTCTTCAGCTCTGACGTGAAGTTATAGTCTTGCAAAAAAAAAAAAAAAAAAAAAAAAAAGGTCTTGTTGCTTAAGCTAATTTAAGTAATTTTGTATAACTTTTAAGGAAATAATCCTTAAGAGCAAAACAAAGGGGGGAGGGATACAAATTGTGTGTGTGTGTGTGTGTGTGTGTGTGTGTGCACGCACACATTATCAAACTGCAAAATTCTGTGACTGTTCCCTTAAAGAGAAAGAGAACTCAAATTATAGCTATTTTCTCTTGGCATTATAAACTCCCATTCACTGTTTTATTCTAAGAAGACCTAACAGTGCCTTATACACATTTAACAAATGTTTATTGAATGGACATACAATTCAAAAAGAAATGCACTTGATCAAAACAGTACATCTAATTGTAGGGTTTTCAATAGCATTTCATTTCAAATTAAGATGTTCTTTATAATTCTCATTAGCATAATTCTGTCTAAACACACATACATACACAAAGAAATGCTGTTTTCTATTTTTAAAATAGAATACTGAAAACCATGGTGATATGATTTCTTCAGATTTTGGGTTAACTCTTAGGACTGTGAAGCCTGCTTAGTGTAGTGGTTGTTAAGACTGTTGTAGACTATCCCAAGTTTCTTCCTTCTGGACAGTGGTAAAACTGCATGTCCTCTGCTTCTTTGAAGTTGTACAGTTGTATGAGTCAAGGCCAATGAATGGCAGTACTGGTTAACACTACTTCCAAGTAGAAGCCGTGAAGGGCCAATGTACCCTTTCCCCTTCCACTGTGGAAGAATGCCTTGAGATGGGGCCTGTGACAACCTGGGGCTCCAAGACACCATCTGAAATGGAGCTCTTAGGCTGATCCTCACTGTACACTCATCATGACAGAAATAAACCTTGTTGATTTAAGGCACTAGGATGTGAAGGTTTTGTGTTACCACAGCCTAATCTGTCCTGTCTGATATACTCAGCAAACATCTTTCTCACAGATAGTATGAAAAAAGCTTAGCCCTCAATATTGCAGAATGGGAACTTTTGTGTACCAGTGCAAAAGAAATTACTTTTGTATGAGAGTGTTGTATTTCTATAGAAACACAAAAACTGATTGGATTCAAACAAATTTTCAAATCATCCCTTAACCTCTCAACTCTTAACTTCGTGACTTCTGAAATGTGATCCAGATACACCTAGACAAGGGTTTGCTCTCCAAACTCTGCCACTTGTATCATTTGCATCCTTAAGGCTGTTTTCCTCCTACCCAGCACCTAGGAGATTCTTAGCATTCATTCCATGAATAAACTGTACGCCATAATCACACTAGTCTTTTAAACAAGAATACAGATCCAAAAAGTTCACATGCTTGCTAGAAACAATCCCACACATTAATAAGCAGAATTCCAGATTTTTGGCTTGAAATCTCTTGCTCTTTCTGCAAAGTGTCATGTTTTCTATGATTTTTTTATAGCTACAAAATTTAGGATTTCACAGTAAACTCATAGTATAAAGTGTTTGTAGTAAAAAATAGCATACCAACCACATGTTTACATTCAATAATAATAAATTCCTCAAGGAGTCTTGTTTGCCTAAACTTACTTTAATTTACAAACAGTAAGCATTCTGAGGCACTAAGAAGCCCTAGAGGGCATCTGGTCCAACAGGCAGCTTGTAGAAAAACAGTGAGGTGTGTGAACAAGCTTTTCCTTGCATGTGCACGATATTAAAACCCTGACTTCTGGACTATCTTCATTTACCAAATTCACTAACTTCAAACATTTTGCTTTCCAGTTCTTATCAAACCCCAGCTGCAGGAAATACTAATGAAGAACTGCTTAAGGGATAGACAGTTGTTCCATTAAATTTGGAAAAGGTCACAACATGCATTTTTCTTAAATAAGGCACTTTTACAGCTGTACTGTAAGCTTTCAAGAAATTCTGTGTAAAAATTATTATGGAAAGCTGTCTACTCTAGCTATTCCACATTCATCAGAGTCCACAATCTTTCTTCTTTGTGCTGGGGCTTGAACCCAGGACCTTGTGTAGGACAGTCAAATCCTTTAGCACTGAGCTCCATTCCTAGTCCCTGAGCCTAGAATCTTGGCTCAAAAACTAAATTAACTTACTGTTCTTTAAAGCATGGCTTGGTAAATACTAACCCAGTTCATCACAACAAAGACTTTTACAGAATTTAATCTTTAGAGTTCATTACTGCCCTATATTGAAGAAAATTCCTGTGCAAATTTTATCATTTTCTATAGGGATATTTTAAAGATGTCAGCTGAATCAATCTCTTTCTCTTTTATTAGGGCCCATGAGAAATTGCTCCTCTTGGGTCTCATTTACAGAAAATGTCTTGTTCAGACAGAAGAATTGGTTTGGATTTTTTTTTTTTTAACCTTGGAATTACGAAGTGAAGCTTACTTTGTTCACTGTTCCTTTCCCTGGCTCCCAGGGTGCCAATTCCAAACGAATACTCAGGTCTAGTACAGCCCCTTATAATAGCATGTACTTTGTGCTGTTCTTTTTTTTTTTTTTTCCTTTTCTTTCTGTACAACCTTAGTATTCTCAGTTTGCTTCACCCTTTTGTAAACTGGACACAAAATTTCTTCAAAGATTTGGAAATACATATACTGCACATATACAGATATGTACATATCTAGTTCCTATAATTTTATATCTATTTCTCCCTACCCACCCGCAAATATCAGTGTATTTGCCTTTATCTAAGTTTTTACATAAATTCTGACAGGGAGCGTAAACATTCACAATTGTGGTCAAGCCTGTAAATGTTTAAGAAAATAAAGTTGGGTTTTTCCCCCAGTGGTCTACTGAAAAGCCTTATTAAACTGCTTCCTAATAGGAAGGAGAATTAACATTTATTGTGCACATAGCAACAGTAGTTCCGATTTCAAAAGAAACCTGGAGGGCATCTGTCCGTGCATTATCGCTGAACCACGGAAGAAACTGACCTTTTCATGGGGGTGTAGGGGTGGGCAAGGCGAGAGACTCCAGATCCCTTTATATCTTTTGGATTTCCCAAACGTCTCAACTACTCAGTAAGTTTCAAATTTTAGATGGAACAATACAATTGGCAACAGTGTACACTCTCTGTCACAGCAAAGTTTTTTCCCCAGCAGCTTGTCTCTGGAATATTCACTGAAACAAATACCCAAATCCAAAAAGTTTCAACCAGTCAAGCCCGACCACACGAAACTATAATTCCTTCTTCTTCACCTAGAAGAGTGAGGCCATTACTCTAAAGCTTAACAATGGGGTAGGGAGGGGATCCCAATTAGATTCCAGCTTGTTTTATTCTTGAGAAGGAGCTCTGGGGAGCAGCACCCGCCAGCCACCCGCGCCGCGTGGAGAACTTTGAGCAACTCTTGGGCGGCCGGGCCGGGCTCGGAAGCGGGGGAGGTGAGGCGAGCTTCGGGTTCGAGTCCCCGCAGCGGCCCGAGGCTTCCCGCCCGGTCGCCCCGGGGCCAATCGCCCTGGCAGGCAGTCCTAGCTGCGCGTGTGGCCTCTGCGGCCCGGGGAAGGTAGCGCGTGTGCGAGGAGCGGGCCTGCGTACGGCCGCCGCGAAGGAAGTCGCACTTACCGCGCCGGGATGGGCGGGTGGCCCGGGTCACCGCGGCCAAGGCCGGCGCGCTCAGCAGAGGGATGCTCGGCCCCGCGCGCGCCCCCAGCCCCTTCCCCGCAGCGTCGCCGCGCGCAGCGGCCGGCCCGCGCGGAGCCACTCCTCGCCGTCAGGCGACGCCAGGCCAGTAGTCAAACTTGTCCCGCAGCCCCTAAGGGGCCGGCGGGCGCGCGCGGTGAGTGGGGGTCCGGGATTCGCTTTCCTGTCAGCCCCGGCGCGCCGGGAGCGGCCGCCCCGCCCACGACCTCAGGTCCCGCCCACCATCAAGCCCGCCCCTCGCCTCCCGGGAGGCCGACGCCCCGCCCAGAGCGTGAAGATTGGCAGTTCCCGTCTCTTCGGCTTTGGCTGGATCCTGCGGATGGAGAGCCGAACTGGGGGAACCGCGCCGCGCTCCTGGGGCTGGGGTGGGGCATAGGGACGTCAGGCTGGCGGGGCCTGGGGAGGAGGGGTCGGTACGGCGGACTTGACCATGCTCTGTATATGCCTCTTCCCTGAAACTGGGAGCTGGGGAATTCCTGGGGGTGGAAGACGAGGGAGTCTTCCCTCTGCGGGACCGGAAGGCGACCGGAAAGAGCTGGCCTGTGTGGTCTCAGTTTAAGAGGGAAAGCAGCAAAAGTTGTCTGTCTTGGCCAGTCACTACAATCTTTCCTCCTGCAGTAGTCTGATTAATTGTGCTCTAGGTTTGTGCCATTGGCATTGTGATCAGCCTTTCCTATGTCGTCGTTTTATAATGATGGGATGCTAAGAATCTGAAAAAGTAACTTCCTTACTTAGTCCTCTAGAAAACGTATGACTTCCCTATGCTAAGTGCTGAGAATAAAATAATCTAACCAGCGCCTGTATGCCAAGCACTAATCGGTGACTTTATGTCACCTCATCAATCAATTTAAGCCAACAGCTATGGTTTCTGCCCCTGGGGAACTCAGGGTAGATGAAGTCTTCCTTCTTTGACTCAGTAAAATGAGCATGAAGTGCCCAGTTGCGTTTGTTTCTCAAAGTAATGAATTTTGTGTTTGTGTGGATTCAGTGCTTTCCACTCTGTCCCGGCTGGGCATCCTCTGCGGTAGTTAACTGTGGCCATTGCCCACAAATGACATTTGCTCACGAGGTCTTCAACTTGTCCCCATAATAAAAAGCTAGTGCAAAGCAGTGGCCAAGAAGACTGATGCTTGAATAACATGACCGAATCGTGGTTAACAGCCTAGGGTGGCTGGGAGATCTATTTAAGGATGTTTTGTGAACTCCCACTTGGGGAAATGGCTAGGAAAAGCAACAGTGTTAAACCATGAAACATTGCCATTGACTGCTAATTCAAAGGGAAACCGGGAAATTTAATACTGTCACAATCAGAAAAGAGATCACAAACTTCCGTCGCTGACCCCAACCACAGAGCACAAGATACCGTTTTTATGAGAGAGGCATTGGTAAGCACTCCCGAAGCCATGACATCTAAGCACCAAACTTACATCAGTAGCACTGTGGTAAGTAGGGAGGACAGTGTGTAAACCCATAGCCTCCAGTTTTGGAATTTGGAACTATGTTGAGCCTTTGTTTGCTTTTTCAGTGTTAAGGTTTGTGCACATTAACAGCACGGGACATGCCTTTCATTGTTTCTTCTCACTCATAATGACTTCTCAGTTCGGTTTTGGAGTTTGAATTCAATACTTTTCTTTGGGGTTTATAATGAGAAAAAGTAGAAAAGCATTTCAAACCAATCAGGTTGCAATTGTAAGTCCTAATTTAAGACATAGGCATTCCAGTATACCATTTCTTTTTGAACATACTGCTTGTTTTAATTTGAGGTCTATTCCACTTGATTTGCTATCTGGATTCTTAGTTTCTTTGTTCCTTCACTAAGTAGAAGCAATCAAAACATCCTTTGCCATCTGGCTGGCTGGTGCTCACTGGCTCCACCCCTTTGCTCTCTCTCTCTCTCTCTCTCTCTCTCTCTCTCTCTCTCTCTCTCTCTTTGAACTGTCTGCTAGCTGGACTATTTTCTGTCTGTCCATACACCAAGCATTTGCTGATGATGCCTCTGCAGGGCCCCTATCTGGCATGCTGTTAGCTTTTCACACAACTGACTCCTTCTTCTTGTTACCTTTCTACACTATCCTATGGAAACCTGCAATCCCCCTATGCTCCCAGCCCCCTGCTTTTCAGCACTTAGCACGGACCACCAAGCATTTCTGTTTGGTTTGCTACTCTCATTTGAATACAAGCCCCATGAGAACAGAACTTGGTTTAGATCACCACTACATCTCAGTGTTCATTACTCATTGTGTCTGTTGCAGAGCAGATTTCCTAATAAATATTTTTTGAATGGATAAATAACTCCACATAGGAAGGATGGTTTATATTCCCTTTTGTAAAAGCCAAAGGCTTTCATACAATTTATCTTTTAGAGTCATATGACTTAGAGATATTAATAAAGTCTGAAACATAGCCCAATTTTAGTCTATTTAAAACTAGAATTTGAAAAGGCTGGATTTAAAAAAAAATTCTCATTCTAGCAACACTGAACAATAGCTTTTGAAGAAGTAGTGACACTGAGCATCTGTGATGAGGTCTATGTAACCCGTCCCATAAATGCATCCACAGAATCTAAAAGTAATGATAGATCAATAAATACTATGGACGTCTCGATAGTAGTCCATGAGATAAAACGATATAGCAATAATCAGAAGTGGAATAATTTAACTTGAAATTTTATTGCTGATAACTGACAGATGGTGTTAATACAGTGTCATTTGTAAATGTTCAAGCAAAGTTAATAGTATTATAAAAGTGAGGGTAATTATTGGGGCCCAAAAAACAATACTCCAAAATGAAGGCCTCAAAAGCAGCCTCAGAGATTTGGGGTTTCGTCTAGTAATAGATCTGTGATCCATTTTTGGATATGAACAGCCTCTTGCCAAAACAGCCCCATTAAGATACAGAGCTAATAGTGTCAGCATTTTTTGCTCTGTACTTACTGGTCCACAAAAAATGTGAGCAAGCTGCCTCCTGCTCCTGCCACCAGTCACACACTGCTCCTGCTGCCATGCCTTCCCCACTGTGATAGACTTCCCCACCGTGACAGCCTTCACCACCATGATGGCCTTCCCCATCGTGATGGACTTCCCCACCATGATGGACTGCACCTTCTAGCCCTAAGCCAGAATAAATCCTCCTTAAAAAAATGATACAGAGGTAGGGCTGGAGCTGCAGCTCAGTCATAGAGCATTTGCACAGCATATGCAAGGCCTTGTGTTTGAGCCCCTGTACTGAAGAAAAGATACAGAACTATATAAATGGTGACTAGATTATGTACCTGGGAAGAAAAATCTCCAGATCAGGATGCACAACTAGAAATCTCTCCACTTGAAGTTCACCCTGGATTCTTACTCTAGCTTCTTTTGATTCCCCAGGGTGATTTGTCATCCCTGTCAACTTGGTCCAAGTAGAAAAAAAATAAAAATCCAAACTTCTTGGGCCCTCTACTACAGACAACCCAATCTAGAATTTTCAAAATGAACTTTACTAAAACTTACAAAATAAAAATAAAGTTAGCATGGAAAACTAACTTGATTTATTGGTTTTACTGCTCTTCTATATTTTCCTTCCAGAAGCATACTTACATACCCAAAGGGCAGGTATATGTTTATAGGCGCTCTTTGTCTAGTCTCCAGGCTCTCTTTCTCCTTTTGGTAAGATCATTTTCCTGCCTTTCATATGAGAGCCATCACGCTCACTTGTTCTCCAGACCATCAGTCGAGATACGGTGTGGTCCCTGTCAAGTTGCAGGACTGTGATGACTGACACGGTGTATGAGCTCTGTCTTCTGGTGAGACTCATTCTTTACATGTGAAAGGAAGGAAATTAACACCTTTTACAGTCCCCAGAGAATTCACATAACAACTGGCCCACACCGTGTTGGGGATGTGGAAAGGAATGTGCATTCTCTCATGAACCTATTTCCATTCATCTATCTATAAGTAGGTCTTGTCTAAAAGAGCATACTTTCCAACTGGAAAAAATTCAGAGTAGAAGGCTAACTCTGTTTATTCTTCAAGATCCTGCTTAATATGCTTTAATGATTGTCTTTTGCCTTCAAGACAGCCATACCATGGCCTTAGGTCTTTCATTGTCTGCCTCTCCAGCATTGTGTCCATTCTGAACTATTTGCAATGTCTATACCACATTATTTCTCCCACAGGTGGGTCTTTAAATATTTTCCCCCATTCTAGAATACCCTCTTTTCCAATATCTTCTGACTGTCAAGACAACTCCAGAGTTACTTGCTCCAGCAATCTTTATCTGGAATTTTCCAAGCTGAGTTCTTCCTCTGTGCTCCCATAGGACCCTGGTGCCTCTCTATTGTATTATTTAGTGAGCTGTGAATGTAAGCTTACTTGCCTATCTCTCTGACTCACTGAGAGTGCCTTCTATAAGAACTCATAAATATTTTATGAATGAATGAGTGAAAGGACCCTTGGCCCATAAATTCCCGAGAAACAGAAATTTATTGGAATAGGGCCACTTTTCCCCTTGAGCATTATAAAACATACAGCCAGGAACTTTCCTCTAATTTATCATGTTATACCACCACTTTCATGAAATCTTAGAAGATTTTAAATTTATTATTCTATAAACATACTAAGGACAAGGGAATGAACACTAAGCACTTGTGTTTGTTTTCAGGTATTAAAATAACCATTCTGATATCTCAGTATACTTGTTATTTAAAGAAAATAATGGCTGCAAGACTATTGATCTTGCTTTCTCACGAGTGAAAGATGTTCCAGGATGCATCTCTGTATTTGAGTACTCTCTAACAGACAGGAAAGACTCCCCCTAGTTTCTATGTTCAGTCCTCTGAGAGCAAGTTTGTAGCATTTGGGTTTGTTACTGTGCTGATGGTTTGCTTGTAGAGTCCCCTTCAGTGACATCTACCAAATGTTATGATGAAACTATAGCAGACACTGTGTTATGGGAAACAAAATGAACAACAATGAACCAGAGAGATGTGAACACCAAATGTCTCAGCAATCTTTATGTTTCCTCTTTCACCTCCATTTAGCTCATCTTTGAAGCGTATGTACACTGTGTGTTCACACTTGCATTCTGTATTCAGAGACTACACTTAGCACAGAGTTCATGGAGAAAGACTTCCTAACAAGCAGCTGACCTGAGATACAAAAACAGCAGGGGAGCAGAAGGCAGCACACTACACACACCTGAAGACATTCAATCAAAAGTCTACAA